ATTTCCCCTCGCAATCACCTTTTACCGAATAAAAATGCGAAACAATAAGCATTATCTCGATTTATTGAATAATCGATAACGAGACTTCATTTTGTCTCACTCACAAATTTTTTGAGGATTTAAATATTTATTTAACATTTATATCGCTAAATAAAATCGCACAGACAAAAAAATTGAATCCTGAAGACAAATTTGAAGTTTCAATTTTTTTATGCAATAATATTTGTTATAAACAATGGGATAAACTAGGCGAAACGTTAGGGCGAAGAATGGAGCGTGGGGTGGTCGTTAATTTAAAAAATAAGAAAGTTTAATAATAATTTGCATCGAGGTACTTTATGAGCGCCAGGTGGCTGCATACGGCGACCGTTAGATGACAGGTTGAGATAAAAATCTCGTACATAAAGGTCATACTTTATGAATTACACTGAGTAAGACATGAGTTTTAAAAATTTTACTTTGAAGTGAAAGAATTTTTCGGTTTTCTTCTGGAGTTGATGCAATCAACTGGAGTAATTCAATTATTCAGAACAAGTGGATTATGCTGTTTTATGGGTTGAGAATAGTTTTTTTTTTTTGCTAATAAATTAGCGATATGCATGTGAATGGTCATTCCGCATGTTGGTTTTTTTTTTGTATGTAAACGTTTATTGTTTCTTTTATTGAATGAACAAATCGGTTTAACGATTTTGAAACATTAACGAAATATCGTTGGGAAAGGCTTAACATGAAAGTGCATGATTTTGCAACATCATGTCTAAAGAAATCATCAAGACTATTTTTTCAACGAATTTTCGAAAAAAAATCCCAGGAGATGCAAAAATCGTTTAGACGTCAAATCAATGGATGCATCGTAATGATCTTTCAACGGAGATATAGTGCCACTAAAAATTCTGAGTTATGATTGGATTGATTTAAAAGATAGTATCAGAAAGGTTTTAAGAATTTTTTTATGGCATTTTTTTTTACATTTTGTGACTGAATAATTCAAAAACAACTCGTGTTTTTTTTTTAAATCGTGACAATTGCATTTTCAGAATTTTTGGATCATACTAGCGTATACGGCGCGCTATGCGCGGCCAAGCTCACATGTATGGGGTATTATCATATAAAATCTTCATATAAAATCTGAATATTAGAAGAATCTTAAGTATCTAAAAAAATTAGTCATAATTTAAGTTTTTTTCTTTAATTAAATTCAATTGATAAATATAACAATTTTGAATATATATACAAATTATATACAAATAATAATAATAATAAACAATTATATATTATATATATTATAAATAATATTATAATATATTATAAATATATATATATCAATTATTTATATGAATATATTAATATGATATGCAGCTTAGCTATGCGCTAAAAAAAGCTGATAAAAAACGTTACATGCTTTTTTTTAAAAGGGATTAGGTCGATATAAAATAAAAATGATAATCCATTCAGAAGCAAAAACATCTTGACTTGGTGAACAGTTTTCACCGATGGGAAAAACGATAACGATGAAAATCCAGATGAAAATGCAGATGGGGGGGAGGGCAATGAGTAAGTGCTGTTTCTCATTCTCGACTCTGCGCAAATGTTCCAGAGGTACTTGGTAACGACTCTGGATGGAATATATCTCAATCTAACGCTCAAACGACTCATGGAATCTCAATTAGAGTGGAAATAAAATACGAGGGGGTGGTTAATTACATCTGCGAAGGAGTATTACTACAATTTATGAATTATTTCTTGTTTTTTAATTGAACAAAATGGGTGCTTATCATTTTTATTCACTGCGCTTTCTCTTGAACAAGCAAACTATTATGATGGAACGATAAGACTCCACTCGATCCGTTGATTCAGACAACAGGAGAATTTTTCATTCAATTTCAGAGTGATTTATCTCGGAGATTATGGGTTTTAGGAGAAATTATCACAAGATCGTTTTCGTGGGTAATTCAATTTCCAATGAAAAAGGTTATTTCATATTTTCTTGTAAAATCAATATTTTTTCTAGATTTTGGAATTGAAACTAAAATTTTGACAACATGAGATTTGTTAATTGAAATTGAGATGAATTTATCTCGGAAATTATGGATTTTACAAGAAATTGTGATAAAATAGTTTTTATAGATAATTCAATTTTGGATAAGAAAGGTTTTGTGATATTTCCTTGTAAAATCACTATTTTTCTGGATTACGATAATTTTAAAAAATGCGTCCCAATAATTTTAAGATAAAAATCTCAAAAAATTGATATTGACTGATCAATTCTGGAAGATTTAAAAAGAAAAAAAATCTCGCAGTCTCAGGCCGATTTTTGGAGGATTTCTCGAAGGATTTGTGTCGAGATTACCCGTAATTCCAGGAAATATTCCACTACATCAGTCATTCCACGATTCCACCGGTGTTCACAGTCGATTGGTCATCGGACCCAACCAATCGTCTCGAAAAAAAAAAAACGCACGAGTGTAAACACGAATACCCAGTGATCCTGCGAGTACCGAATACACTATTTCAACTGTAACATTTCCGATGACAAATAGAACGAAACGAGTCGTACATCTCTTTACGAACTCAACGGCCGTTAAACTCATCCGCAAAACATTTCAGCTTTGTCTCGGTGACGCGCCCCGTCAATAATAAAAAAGAAGATTTATTTTCCCGTGAGATATTGCACTGGCCAATGAAAATGTGATTTATCCATTCCGATGACGAAAAAAAAAAACGTATTTCGGTGTTTTTACTTCTCGGGCATTCACTCATGCTAATCGTCTCGGGATTTCGTGATTCATGACTCGATTATGCGGAGTTTAACCGCTGAAACTCGACTTTATTGCTATTTTTATCCCCTCCGGTTTTTCCTTTTCTCCAGATTTTTTTTTTCGTTTCATTAACTGGTGATGTGGATGCAGAGTAGAAAGTGGTCATTAGAATTGAACAAGTAATGCAGGCGAAATTAAGCGTTCAAACGCGTCGGACAAGTGCCCTTTCGGTGCTCATTAATTATTCCTGTTGTCAATTACACCTCGGAGCTATTACGATTCATTTTTTTAAACTCAGAGCTTCGGTTTACATCCCACATCGCAAAATGCACTGATAAAACAGTGGAATTCATTATATAAACAAAACAGCAACTGTTTAAATTATATAAATCGAGTATTACAGTTTTAAATATCGATTTATGGCAAAACTGTTGATTTCACGAGAAAATGTGAAAAGAACTTATCCACCGGAAATTGAATTGGCTACGGAAAAGTTTCTTATGGTTTTTACGTGGGATCTGTAGTTTTTCAGATAAATCGATCAGATGATGGATTAATGAATGCTAGAGGATTTTCTGAAATATCGAATGAATTGTTGCAATTGCGTGGTAATGGTAATGAAATTCATGCATTTGAAATGTTTTATCGAAAGTTTCTCGCAAGTTCATCCTACATTCACATCATATATTCCAGTCTCTCTCGGAAGAATGAAAGGTAACGAAGGGAATAAAGAAACGAAATGCATTTCAGTGCATCTCACCATTGAATTTTTCTCTTTTTTTTTCCCACTCACTGGAGGATTCAGATGGTTTTTGGGAGTGATCCACTGCACGTGGTATCATCCACAGTATCTGGTTTATACTCTCATGGACGATCGACGACCTCCACTCGCCTTCGACGCGATTTGAATTCAAGGTTGAATTTCTCTGGAGTAAATTCTACTTATTCTTTTTATCCGGGGAAATTGCGTCATTGATGCATTTTGTCGACTTTCTGGCACTTCCCCTGCTACACATGATGAAAATTGCAATCATTTCTCGCAACATTCAGAAATAATTCCCACCTCATCGATTTTTCCTCTGCGAATTTTTAAAACTTTTATTTTTTTCATTTTCATTTTTTAGGAATTTTTTTTACTAATTGACCAAATTTTAATGTTGCGATCAATTTGTTAATTTATCAATTTATTATATTTATCAATTTATTAATTTATCTATCTCTTCTATTTTTCAATTTTTTTTAATCAAAAATTTTTTATTCAATTCGAATATGTCGATTGATCTATTGATTTTATCTGAAAACATCAAAAGACCATTTATTTAAATAATTTAATCTGTTACAAAAACGTTCTTTTCGGTTTTCTCCTCAAATCCATTCTTTTCGCGATAAATAATAAAGATAGCGAGACGTCTGGTTTGACGGATCATTTCGGCATTTTAATCCACTGCAGAAGTAAAAAAATTTTATAATTACGCGTTTAGTCACTTTCACGATGAAACCACTCTTAACGACTCGCTGCACTGAGTAAAGATCCACAGCTAAATTGCCGAGTGCGAAATATAACGTTTCGAAAGGTGGATTGAGATTTTGGAATCAGAGGGAGAGTAATTACGAATCTAATGAGATTCAGATATTAATCGTCTCGCTAATTTGACTCAGCGAAGATTAGATGTCCCGATATATTTCGAGCGAGAGTAAATATTCCTTTCTCAATATAACAATATAAAACCGAGAGTGCCCTAATGGTTGAGGGTTCAAATCCCGGTCTGGACTATCCATTTTTTCAGTAATTTTTCCCTTAAAAAAAAAATCTAATGTAACGTTTTTTGAAGCCGGTTTATTCGATATATATATACGTATATTATTATTTATATATATGTATATAAATATATATTATTATCTATTATTGTCTATTATTATTATTATATATTTATTATTTAAAAAAAAAATTGAATTTCGATTCTTATATATCTATCGTTGAAAAACGAAATAGAAAGTCATGTAGTAGCACCACAAAAATAATAATATCATCTCTAGTTCTTGTAAAAATTATATCGAGAATTATCCTGTTAGTCTTCCTACCTAATCCAAATCTTATCCAACGACTCCTTTGACGTCACAAAAATATGGAACGCTATAACTTGCCCTCTTCTATGTAGAAAAAATGATTTCTATGTAGAAAAATAATTACCCTCGATATTTTCAATCTCAATAAATTTTTTAATATGAAATTGCACTCACCAGGAATAAATATCAATCTCCCTCGTGATAATAAAATCCAGCCGATCCCATTATTCCCGGGTGCTAGGGCCAATGCACTCTTCTCGTCGATAAATAAATTAAAAAGAGGAACAACACAATATCGTCAATGGGTTGAACGCACTCTCCACTCTGCACTGAGAAAAATCTCAGGTTAATTTTATTACGAGGAAATCCACATTTTTTTTTATATTGCAAATACTAATTTTGGATTTTGGTTACGGATTTTATTCTGGTCAGTTCAGGAGTTCATTGATTTGGTATTCGGTAGGTTTTTTTATCAGTGCACTGGACTCTTCACCTGGCGAGCTTGACTGCTGGCCATGCACTGAGCTCAGGTACTTGAGGTACTTTTACCTGAATTAGTTTGTCTTCAACGTTTGTTTCTCCTTCCTCTCTTCCTCGGGATGTTTTTTCGAGGGGTCTGGACACTAGATCGGTAGCGCGCAATTCCGGGTCGAAGGGAGCAGTCACTGACCACTAATTATCTCCACAATCAACAATTAATTTATCGCAATTCCACTTCTATTTTCGTTTTATTAATAATTTTCATTTTATTAAATTAAGTGGACGAAATCAATTTTTTCATAAATTTCCCGGAAATTTTCCCATTAATGAAATTACAAATGTTATTACAGGATTATTCGAAATTATTGTAAAATCAGGTTTTGTTTATGTACAGTACCGATTTGTTGATAACAAATAAATAATTTTATTTTGAAATTATAATGCACTAAAGGGAAATTTTATCTGGGGTAATTAAGAGGTAATTAAATTCAAAAATCGAAAAAAGGATTTAATTCCCAAAAAATTATTTCTAATTTTCGTGGATTACTCCCGATTTTTCCGTAATACCGAAAAATATAATTCAGCTGGTGAACCGATTTATGAAATAATTCACATCCTAATCCAGAGTTTTATCTCACCGCCCCAACAATTATATATTTATTGTGGAAACGAGGTTAAAGAAAGGCCGAACTTATTTCCCCGGTATCGAGCGTGGAAAATATCGGCATCAAACCGGTGAGATACTTGTTTACGATTTCAATGGGTTTTTACTGTTTTGAACGAGAAGAATGACGAGCGAGGATGGGAAAAGAGAATCGAGGCGAATGCCTGGAAGTTATTCCTTGATAAATCCTAGAAAAAAATCACCTGTCCCTATCACCACACCCCAGACTCCAGATATTTTAACGCGCCATTCCCACCCCCATTAAACCACTTAAAATTCATAATCGCATTTTAAATGTTTAACGTCACGAATCATTACGTGAGAATTTAACGAGCTGAACGTGTGGATTTAAAACCCATCGGTTTTACTCCGATAAAATAATTCAAACCCCAATTCCGGGTATAGATTACATTAGAAATGTTCCGGTGATTTGAATATCAGATGTAGAGTAATCAACTTGAAATGTCAGAGTTGAGAATTTGAATTTGTCAGTCAATAAAAATTTGAATAAGTCATTCCAGTAAACTCCACCTGCCGCCAGCTGTTTTAAACTCCACAACTTGAGATTCTGCATTATCAGCGTTTAAAAATAACGCGGGAAAAATAGACGAATGAATTATTCCCATGTGACGTGAACTAACGAAACGTCACTCGTCACTATTTATCTTGCTGTATTATTTTTAATTGCTCCAATGATTAATTAATCATGGGAACTCCTGGAAAGATCCAGAAACTCGATGAAGTCGTGGTGAACAGAATCGCCGCTGGAGAAGTGATTCAGAGGCCAGCGAATGCCCTGAAGGAGCTAATCGAGAACAGGTTAGATTCTACAGATTGAAAAAACGTCAATTACCCTAAAATACCTGATTTGAATTCCTAAAAATGCAGTCTTGACGCCAAATCCACGAACATCCAGGTAACCGTGAAGGACGGTGGCCTGAAATCCCTGCAGATCCAGGACAACGGTACGGGGATTCGTCGGGAGGACTTGGAGATCGTCTGCGAGCGTTTTACAACATCGAAACTGAAGAAATTCGATGATTTAAAATCGATATCGACGTTTGGATTTCGGGGTGAGGCCCTGGCGTCGATGTCCCACGTGGCACACCTGACGATCACGACGAAGACGATTTCCGATAAAGTCGCGTACAAGGCGTCGTACCTCGATGGAAAGCTAAAGGGTGCCCCTAAGCCCCTGGCAGGCAACCAGGGAACAACAATTCTCATCGAAAATTTGTTCTACAATGTCGTAACCAGGAGGAAAGCCCTGGCAAGTCCCTCTGAGGAGTTCTCCAGGATCTCCGAGGTCGTAACGAAGTACTCAATTCATAATCCCAGTGTTGGTTTCACCCTGAAGAAGCAGGGGGAGGCCCTCCCCTCCGTCAGGACCCCCCACAACTCATCGAACATCAGCAATATTAAAGTTCTCTATGGTAACACCATCACCAGGGATTTACTGGAGATAAACCTCGACGATGACAGCCTCCAGTTCAAGATGCACTGCCTCCTGACGAACCCCAATTACTCCCACAAGAGACTGACGTTTATTCTCTTCATTAATCATAGGCTCGTGGAGTCAACGTCCATCAGAAAAATGCTGGAGGATCTCTACTCGATTTATTTACCCAAGAAGACTCACCCCTGGTGCTACCTCTCTTTGGAAATTAATCCTTTGAATATTGACGTTAATGTTCATCCCACGAAGCACGAGGTGCGTTTTCTCCACGAGGACTCCATCATCGAGAGGGTAAAATGTGCTCTGGATGAGCAACTCTCCAGGAGCAATGCCTCCAGGACATTCTACGTTCAAGCGAGACTGCCCCAGGTCGATATCACCAAGGACATCCTCGAGAAGGTTCTCCCTGAGTTCGATAAAGGAGAGAAAAAGAAAATTTCTGCCAAGGAGATGATTAGGACTGACGCTAATGACCAGAAGCTTGATAAATTCAATTTTACTGTCAGTAAAAAGGAAAATGGAGGGGGTAGTTTAGGAGAGGATCCTGGGAGGATTGAAGAGGGCATTGAGGGGAAATCGAATGAAAAGGAAGGGGATCAGGAAGGGGATCAGGAAGAGGATCAGGAAGGGGAGGCTGTGGAGAAGAGAAAAGAGAAGAGAGTAGGTCCCTGTTTGTTTGGAACTCCAAGGAAGGAATTTGTGGTGGATTTTAAGGCTGGAGAACCTTCTGGAGAAGAGGTCCTTGAGGACCTGAAGACTCCCGAGGGAAAGAAGAAAGTCGTGGATTCACACTGGAGTTCTTTGGTAGACGAACTGTCCTCTCAGGAAACTGTCAAGGTGGAAAACGATTCTGGTAATTGTCCTAAGGATTATGAGGGAGGGGTGATGCTGCCTCGAGAGGTCCTCGAACTCCTCAGCTCTGATGGAGAGAGCTCAAATGACGCTCTAGGACCTTCAGATGTCAATTCCAGTGTTGCTGATAGAGCACTAAAGAATGTCTTTAAGACTTTTGGGAGTCAGAAGGAGGAAGAGGATAAAACTTCTCCAGAGATAAAGGATCTAGAGGACTTTAACGAGGATCGAGGGGAAGTTCCTGAGGAGGACAAAACAATAATAACTCCTGAAAAAAATCAGGATAATCAGGAAATGGAGGGAAATAATCTTGGGGATTCTCCTGCGAATTCCCCTGGAGATGAGAAACAGGAGAAACTGGAGGGGACACCCCTGGAGTTCAAATCCTATTCTGTGAATAACACTAGGAGGGAAGTTCGTCTGACTAGTGTCCTGAAACTTCGAAAGACTGTGGAGGATAATTACCACGAGGGACTCCGGAAAATTCTCTCGGGGATGACGTTCGTTGGGTGCGTTGACGAGGAATTGGCTCTCGTCCAGAGCGACGTCAACCTGTACATCTGCAACACAACTCGACTAGCGTAAGTAAAATTGTGATGAGGATTAACGAGAGAACTTACGTCGAGTTTATAGGAGTGAAAGTGATCGAAGGACTGCGTAATCACAACTCCATTCAATGGAATATTTATTTTATTACGTAAAACCCATTTCATGATTTATAATCTATTAGTTTTGTTTCAGGGAGGAGCTCTTCTACGAGATCATGCTGTATGATTTTTCAAACTACGGGGTGATCAAATTTTCGGTGAGATAATATTTCAAAATTTCAACATTTCAAAATTTCAACATTTCAAAACATTCATCCACAATAAATAAATTGACAGGAGCCCCTGTCGATCTACGACCTGGCGATGCTGGGGTTGGAAACCGAGGAAGCAGGATGGGACGAGGGAGACGGCCCCAAGGAGGAAATAGCCTCCAACGTGAAGGAGCTGCTCCTGGAGAAGGCGGAGATGCTCAAGGAGTATTTCTCAATCGTAATAGATAAGAGGGGAAACTTGCGATCCCTCCCAGTTCTCCTTCAGGATTATTTTCCAAATCAAGCAGAGATCCCTATTTTTATTCTGAGGCTGTCGACAGAGGTTGACTGGTCTGAGGAGCAGACGTGCTTCGACAATATCTGTCGGGAAGTCGCCAAATTCTACAGCAAAATTGACCCCAACAATCTCCAACAGGACTGGAAGCACTTGACTGAACATGTTATCTACGATGCTATCAAGGAGAGCCTTTTGCCTCCAAAACATTTCTCCCACGACTCCACTATTCTCCAAATAGCAAGTTTACCTAATCTTTATAAAGTATTTGAAAGGTGCTGATTTATTCCTCTTGGATATTTATTAATTATCCCCTATTATCGATTACTGGATGATTTTTTATACTTTTTTAATAAAATATGCTTGAATGGAACTTGGAGCAATGACGAGTCATTTATTCACTCCCACCAATATATTACGACATTGAACCATAATAAACGTGCAAATTCTGGAATTGTAGAATTTTCTAACGAACAATAAATTGATTAGTCTTAGAAATTAATTATGCCTTGGAAACTCCTACGAGGGCAGGACGCACTATCCTCTCGTGCAACTTGTAACCGACTTTTGAGACAACCACAACTGTCCCAGGGCCCTTACCCTCTACCTCTTGCTGGAAAAGGGCCTCGTGCTGATTCGGGTCGAATTTCTCATCGAGGGGATTCAAGGAGACCAGTCCGTGCTTTTTAAACACCTAAAAATAACCCAGACAATTAATTATTCAATTATTAGAAAATATTTTCTATGAAAGTCTCTGGACTGAAGAGAGAGAAACAAGATACCTTATGCAGCTGTGACTCAGTCATTCTCAGTCCCTCGTACAGAGTCTTGAGGTGTGGATTTCTCTCGGTGAGCTCGTCCTTGGGAACACTTTCAGTGGCTTTCCCCAGGATGTCAGCGACATCCAGGAGATCTTTGCAAAAACCCTGGATTCCAAACAACTTTGCATCCTCGATCTGCTTCGTAAGTCTCATCCTCAGGTTCTCACCATCTGCAAGTGCTCGTTTGTACTTGTCATCAAGCTCTGAATTTCTCTCCCTCAGGACGAGAATCTCCTTCCCCAGCTGATCCATTTCTGATTTCAATTTCTTCTCGTTCTCCGATAATTCCGATACCTCGGAGGCCTCAGCATTTTGCTCTGGAGCTGTGCCGTATCTCTGGCTCATGACTGACGTCGAATTACATGATCTTCAAAATAATTTTTCATCAACCAATTTAATTAGTTTATTTAATTGTCAAATGGTTTAATTAATTTTTGTGGGGAATGGATTACCAGAAGTGGGAAATGATCTACATTATCTAATACCTAACCTCAATGATTGGGAAACGATTTCCTGACGTTTTTTTATGATGATTTTTGGGGATTTGAGGGGAGAATGTGGTACACTCACCTGAGAATTGTTTTACGCGATATTTGGTAAAAATTGTCGACTGACAATCGGAGAAATCTAGAGGCCACCGGTAATGCCATTGGTGATATATCGTTTTCGCACGTTTATGAATGATGAAATGAATTGAGCCAATCCTCGTGGCCCCGGGGTTCTCAATTCTCTGAATTATAAAACGAATGATTCAAGTAAAATTCGAATTTTAGTGTCCCTATCAATTTATCTCGAAAACGACTAACTTCTGGATAAAATGTCAACAGACTTTTTTTATTGGGAATTTAATCAGCTACAAAACATGTCGAATAAAATTTTTCATCAGACGTGAAATGTATGAGTTTATGAAAAAAAAAGAAATACATGTTTTTTCTTCGTTTTATTGGAATGAATTCGTACAGTAATCAAATACCATTCCCATCAGACAACTGAGACACCTGATGATGATTTTTATTTACAAAACTTAAATTGATCTCTCGGACGACGAAAATATTCATGCAATTTTTCTTGTTACAAACAATATGAGAAAATCATTTAGACTTTCTGTGTAGATTAATTAAATACACGGGTTATTGGCTGTCCTAAGTATTACGCCGATCAGACTGAGACTTTTGATTAACGTTCCCTTGTAATTTCATTCCTCCCTATGACTGAAATAAAATTGCCTGTCGACAAAGTAAAATCCATTTCTATCAACTCTACCCTCAAATCTGCAGTGAGTGGATTGACAATACAATAAATATGAGAGATACTGAATAACTAATTAAGCAATGATAAACTAGTGTCTGAATTAAATTTCGTGGATTAAAATCTTGGAGATGAGTAATGTGGCACAATAACTGTGTCAAGAATTATTTTTTTTTAAAGGCGATACAAAATTAATCTATTCCCTCTCTGACTTTAATCCATTTTCTTCACGAATACAGATAACAAAAAAATTGATTTTTTTCTTTCGACGAGAGAAAATTCAATGAAATAAACATTAAATCGACAGTGGACCCAAATGATAGTCGTGATCTCTAGCATCGAAACGATTTTTCCAGCTTTCTAGAGTGACTCGTGGTTAGAAGCCTTCTTGGTACTGTTTCGAGTCTAATCTGGCTTGAATCAACTCCAGCTGTCTCTTTGCATCGCACTGAGGGAAATTCTGTAGGTCGTAGTATTGAGGGGCAATTTTCAACAGCCATTCAGCTGAAATAATAAAAAAATAATAAAACAAATGATTAATTCGTCATCGTATCCACCGAGTGCTTACAAATTGAAAGGAATACCTTGCAAATTATCAGAAATAAATCCTCTAGAATTGATAATTTCGTACTCACGTTTTATATCAGTTACTGTTCTTATATAATTCTTTGTCGTTAATACAAATTCATTGTATATCACCCATTCTGGTTTGTGATCTAGACAACTGCTCGGGTGCAGTTGTACATTCTGATTGTCCTTAATCGTCAGGTAGTGGCCACTTCTCTCGAGATGAGCGACTTGCATGAAAAAACCATCGACCAGTGCCTTTCGAATGTTGATGTAGTAGTCCTTTGATGTGAAGTCTGTGGACGTTCTCTTAAGAGAGAATCTGTCCATAATTCGGCTCAACTGTTGTCGAACGTTGTCACCACTCTTCAGGGATCTGTAGTTGACGAAGTGATCGTAGCACCACTGAGGATCCTCCATGTCTGAACACAAGAAACAATTTAATGAACATTTCAAGGAAATTTACGATACAATGTTCACATCCCAATGAATTAATTTCGTAATTACTCAAAATTATTTACTCACTCTGTTTGAAGGCATGGTAAACATTGAGCAGCGTGAGATGATCTCCATCAATATGAGCGAACTTCATTTTCGCATCATCAGCAGCTTTTTTCGCCTCATTAGGCCTCACAAAACACTGTGGGACTAATACCATGTGAATCATAAATAAAAAACCACAATTACCTCATCACTTTAAAAAAATCCATGCACCCCAAATACCTCACGAAAAAATCCAAAGAAAAACCTCCACCATTACCTGATAACATAGCAGTAATGCTGAGTATCTCATTACTGCAATTATGATTGCACGATGCAATAAGCATCTTAGCGAGCTGAGGATCAAGAGGGAATTCAGCCATTACAGCCCCCAGATCAGTTAAATTTCCATCATCATCAAGAGCAGCAAGATAATTAAGCAATTCCAGAGCCCTCATGAGTGTCTCAGGTGCTGGTGGATCCATGAAATCAAAATGCACGAGATCATCGATCCCCAACTTCTTCAGCTGGAGAACAACACTTCCCAGATTAGACCTGAGAATCTCCGGATAGGTATTGTCCTGCATTTCGTTCTTGTAAGCCTTCTCAGTGTACAGTCTGAAGCATTTTCCAGGTCTCGTTCGTCCAGCACGTCCAGCCCTCTGCTGAGCCGATGCCTTGCTGATGGGTGAAACCAGTAGAGACTCTACCCTAATCCTGGGATTGTAAACCTTCTGCTTAGCAAATCCAGGATCAATGACAAAGACAACTCCATCGATTGTCAGTGATGTCTCAGCGATGTTGGTTGATACGACAACTTTTCTCCCAATGGAGCCATTCGGTTTGTTGGAAGGGGCTGCCTCGAATATCCTCTGCTGTAAATTCGGTGGAAGGGTTGAATACAGAGGAATGCACTTGAGCTCGCCAACCTCAGGCCCGAGATTGTCCATTTCCCTCTTGATCCTCTTGCAGGCTTCCTCGATCTCCTCCTGGCCTGTCAAAAACAGCAAAAGATCCCCAGCCCCAGACTCACACATGTGAATCTGGATTACTGTCCTGATTGCTGCCTCCAGGTAATCCCTCTCGGGCTCAGGAGTATAAAATATCTCCACTGGGTGTGTCCTACCAGGAACGTTCATCAGGGGTGCATTGTCAAAGTACTGTTGGAACTTTCCAGCGTCAAGGGTCGCAGACATGATAACAAGCTTGAGGTCTGAGCGCTGCTTGATCACTTCCTTCAGAACACCCATCAACAAATCTGTGGCTAGGGTCCTCTCGTGGGCCTCGTCCAAGAGAATTACCTGGTATGCCTCTAGCATTGGATCAGACATGCCCTCTCGCAGCAGCATACCATCTGTCATGTACTTCAGGACTGTCTTTGGGGAGCTACAGTCCTCGAAACGAATGCTGTAACCCACCTGCTCACCCAGGGGTACATCCATCTCCTCGGAGACTCTCTGGGCAACTGACATTGCTGCAACTCTTCTCGGCTGTGTGCAGGCAACACCTTTTGCACCCATTGACATCGAGTACTCGACACACCACTGGGGTATCTGAGTCGTTTTTCCAGAACCCGTCTCACCCACCAGCACGATGCACTGGTGCTGTGCAAGCAGTCGCATGAAATCCGCTCGGTACTCGAATACTGGCAGAGTTATTCGTTTTTTTAGGAATTCATAGTAGCGAGGAGTGTATGGTAGGGTGGTGTAAGGATTCAGTTGAGATGGGGCTTTTGATGGGGCGACGGAGGGAGTCGACGAGGAAGAGGATGGGTCTAGTCCATCGTCCCTAGAAAAAAAACAGTTGTTTTAAATTAAATCAATCAATACAATTTCGTTACTTGTTACCAGGACATCAAGATATCGAACTATTTTTAATCCAACTGTCAAAATTTTTGGAACACAGTATGTGAATTTGTTTGTTTATCATTTTTCATTAAAATGTACAATTAATTTTTAGGGATATAAGGTATTCCGTGTGATTGGCATCAAATTTATTCAATCAATCATTCACGAATCCATTCGTTCCTCTTTATTGATCAACAGCATTATCGGAACAATGAAACAACTGTATCTACTCCAACATTCACCACCAAGTGCTCGCAAATGACTAAAACTGATTGAGAGTCACTGTGGAAAAAATGATGAGAGAATTGCATGCCGAAAGGGCCAGAGATAGATAATTGTTCAGGTCATCCGCAGGAGACTGTCACCTCCACGTGAATTTCATTATTTTTTAAAACTTATAACAAATAACGAGTTCCTCGAAATATTCGAAATATCGCACACATGGCTAGAGATTAACAAATTAATAATTTGGGGGATTAACGAGTGATGGACTCACCTCTTTCGTTTGATGTACGGATCCACAACTTCGATTCTTCGTTTCGACATTTTACCTGTCGATTTTAGGTAATTGATTTAGCTACTGTCCACGGGGGATTCGAGTTGAAAAAAACGTGTTGTCTATTGTTTACGAAAGGTAAAATACACCGCGAGGCGTCACAAAATGGCAAAACGCTTCTCCGACCCCGGGAAACAGAAATGATAAATTTTTCGTTGGAGGTGGGGGGCACAGATGGCGCTGAAAATTATTAGCGGGAAAATTCAAACAGCCGGTAATTTTCCAAACCTCGAAAAGGCGCGCTATTCGCGCAATTCACAATACATAAAAATCCTCGAGATTCTTCTCAAAAATTTCCCCCGAAAATTCTCGAACACCGCCATTTTACCTTGTGCATGAGAATTTTTTTGATAAATCATTAAGTGATTTTTTTTTCTTTATACTCTTGATAATAAAAAATTGTTCATCAGAGATAAATTAGATAATGAAAAAATCGGGAGGTATTGTAATAAAATACTCCCATTAATTTTAATGAACTAATATCATGAAGATAAATCGCCTCGAAAAAATGTCAGTGCCTCATGAAAAATATAACCACGTGTCACAATAAACGTCAAGAGCAAAATGAAATACGGTATCTCAAGAATTCCACCACAATCATTGAAATTGTCCATTCCTTAATTTAACTGCTTTATTTATCTACTCCATCGAAATCAGGAAAGCCACGCGTGCCTCATACTCTCTCAAAAATCCTTGTCAACTTCATTTCCCGGGTCATAAAAAAGGTAACATATTCCAAGCTCCAAGTACCTCCCCTATCTCCCCAATTTTTTATTACATATAATATTCTCCATTGAGGATTTAATAAATAATAAAATCGAAACTCCTTTGAACGTAGTCGAATCGAATTAATCGAATAAAGCCCACATTATTCCGCAATTACCCCCGGATGCCGGTGTAATTACCCGAAATACCGCAATGAGTCTCGATGAAAAAGAAACTCGCCTACTTCTCATTACCTCATCCCTGTCCATTGAAACTCCACTGATCCGAAAATAATTGCACGTCTCTGAATGCAACACGAGATTTCCTCCCCCCGTTGACATCGCGCATGTTAAATTGTGGGAATAGATATGATATCACAATAGAAACACAAGCCCTTCACCGAGATGTCCTTCATTGTTCGATTCACTATTCATTGACAAAGTTTGAAGACCATCGGATTTATCGTCACCCAGAAAACTCAATCTGGAATACCGAGGGTTGACTATTTGACCAGTCGCCTAAACGAAATCATCTTCAGTCGTTGGACACTCGTTGCATCGAACGGACGTTTTATCATTTTTATTTACTCATTACCCCCCCACCCAGTACTCACCCCCAATTGTCTCGGTATTATGACGACAATTATCCGTGTAGCTCTAATTTTTATCGCCTCAGGTGATCATTTTTCTTTAATATATTTTTTTTTCACTTTTTAAATCGGTATTTGAATTTTTTTTATTCTATTATTTGGTACCGGTGATACTGGTGCAAGTGACATTGCTTTTTGCAATTGCTATTTCTGATCCACGCCCTCGGAATAGTGTGGGAATAGTTCATCGTGTGGTGGGACAACTAGATTACGAGATTCAATGGGTCAAGTTTACGTTGCACTCGGGCTGATGAGATAAATGAACTCGTGTCTTAATTTGCCTGGAGCAAATCAATTTTACGGCTTTTTTATGATCTCATTATCTCGGTATTCTCTTATTTTTTAAGTTCCTCTGAGATTTACGGATATCAAGATAAATCCGAATTATCTAAAGAGAAATTCAAACGAAAGGATAAAAACACAAATTTTCCAAGTCTTAACCATCTTAACCATCGATTTCCCTCGAAACTATTGATTTCAGAAGGAAAAGTGATAAGAGATTTTTTATCGAAAATTGTGTTACCTGCAAAAAAGTCCTCTAACTTTTTTATCACCAATCAATACATTCTTAGATAAATCGGTAATTACGCTAGACTCGAAGTAGATTATAAATATTGAATGCATTTAGATTATTAAGATTTATTGACAGTAAAATGATGCGATTACAGAGAGAGTAATCGTTTCTTTGAATCGATAGAACTGTAATCCGAGGATTAATGAGCGAAGAAAAAAGATAGGGCATAGTAAGGAAGGAAAGAACTTATCAGACAGACTTTTCGCCCGGTGGTTTCGCCTGATTCACTCGTTCCAATGTCGCCATGCTAAAATTACCGTCAATGCAATAGTAATTGGCTATTCAGTGAATATTCAGCCTTCATGTCCATCCGTCAATTAATTTTTCTAACGAGTTAATAACACTCGAAACTGCCAATTAATTATTTGGCTCATTAATTATTTCAGGGGCCCACGTGAGCTTGCAGAGCCAGGAATTATCTTGGAGTTATTTTGGAGGAACTGGTGAGATTAATTACTAATTAATTAATTAATTCATCAATTATTTATTCATTTGCAACCCGTCCAATTTTTTAAGGTGACAATTTTTTTTTTTGGTCATAAAAAATTTTGCGCGCCATTTTTAATTATTTAATATTTGATTGGGATATTTAATTAATTAATTAAGGGGAAATTACAGAAGTTGTGCCAGTTTTTTTTAGAGAATTCAGATATTTTCTAGTGGTTGGCAAATAAATCAAGGAATCAGTGGAGATAATGATTTTTCATCGATTGTTATCGATTGTTATCTCTTGTTTGATCATTCGAGATTTATCGAGGGCGGATTAGCGATTTTAATGTTTATTAATAGGGATTGTTGAATGGGGGCGCATGCTTGATGTCATGTGTCAATGGCTGGCGTTATAATGTACGTCAGAATTTTACATAGCAAAAGGGTCTTTTGAATCGTATCGCTCTACCGCAACGGTCTCTTGCTGATTGAGGAAATGATGCGCTATAGCACAGATTGGATAATTGCCAATTTACGAATATCCTTAGTTGTTTGACGCCGTTCCGTTACCACGGGAGTTAATGAGTTCAATACCAATTTCATTTTTTCATCTAATCATTTCCCCAATTCACCACCAAATCCGGGGATTCCCCAAAATTTTCGCGGAAAATTTGAAAACCCGGAAAAAAAAATTTTAAAAATCGGTCTGACAGCTGATGATTCTGGAGCGCAATTCCAATTCTCTATTTTTTTATAAAAAAATAAATAAATAAATAGGGAGTGAAAATTAGAAAAAATTGTGGAACTGCGAATTTTTTAAATAAATTTTTGCATAAAATCCCAGAAAATATAGTGATATATTTTCCATCACTAGTGCAATAAATTTTTCGGTAGTAGATTTTTTTAAAACTATTGCAAAACATCTGTGAAAAAAAATCTTGGAACTGCGAATTTTGCAGATAAATATTCGCATAAAATCCCGGAAAATTCAGTAATAAATTTTTATCGCTAGTGCAAGAAATGTTCCGGTAATATAATTTAAAAAAAAACGCTGTCAAGTGTCAGAAAGAAAATTTGAAAATGAAATTTGTAGGGCCTGACCACTGGGGCCCGATATGCACAAACGGAAAGTATCAGTCCCCGATAGACATAATCCCGGAGGACACCATCAAAGTCGACCTGGGATCCCTCAAATTCATGCGATACGATTACGCGTACGAGGGAAAACTCCTGAATAATGGACACACGGGTAAACAATCTCCCAAATTATTACAACAATTCGTCAAAATACAATTTTTAAAATACCAATCTTCTCCAGTGCAAATAACGCTGTCAGGTGTTCCTCTGCTGCTGAGTGGCGGAGGATTGTCTTCAACATATCAACTCGAGCAGATGCACTTCCACTGGGGTGCCGAGCACACCATCGACGACCATCGAGATGCCCTGGAGCTGCACCTCGTGCATTTTGAGAAAAAATACGGCAATGTCTCAACTGCTGCGCATTACAAAAATGGAGTTGTCGTTATTGCTGTTCTATTCAGGGTAAAAATGATTGTTTATCCCCATTTTTATATTTCAAAAATGATAAACACTACGATTATCAAACATTTACGATTTTACCGCACTTAAAAATGGTTCCGGAAAATAAAAAAATCAAATTATGATTCAAATTATGATTCTTAAAGAATTTATTTAAAACTTCTGAATGGATTTTTAATGGAATTTCCCTTTTAAAAAAAAAGCATGTAACGTTTTTTGTCAACTTTTTTTGGCGCTGGGCATATCAAAATATATCTATATAATATGATATATATATATACTATATACATATATAAATAATATATATAATAATATATATATATAAATTATTAAATTTATT